TTCTTCTGTCCTCTGATAAGCATTGTTCAGGGCTGCCGTTCCCAAAAGCTTTAATGCTTTCTTATGATACTTTTGGGAAACGCAGCCCTGTTTGAATGCACTGTCAGAAGTGAGTGAACGCTCTCAGTGATGGATTGGTTCTGTCTTGCAACATTTGCGTGTGTTCAGATGAGCATGAAAATAGTTCTATCGTACACAATTATTTACTAACATAGGTTATTCGTCCAATTCAATGCATTATTTTTTTGTTAAATAAACAAAATCACTGGTAAATAAAACACACCTTAGTATCGATATCTATTGTTTGAGTATCAATACTTTCGACACCCTAGAGCGCGCGCGTTCGCTGACTGAATGCCGGACTCTTGCGAATTCTCTAATCATAAACAACAAAGCGCAGATGGACGTACAATGTAAGAGATTAATTTCACAGTGTATACAGCTTCAGTGATTATAACGATAGTTTTGTTTTTTTGAGAGTGCTTAAACTCGCGATAGATCAATGTTAGTGATCACTTTCTATATATAATTTATTCGCTGTTTGAATAACCGTGGAAAGGAAACGTTATATAATTATCAATTTCTAACGTTTTTATTAAATTGTAATCACATTAAATACAAATTCAGTCCCATTAAACATTTTTTAGCCTACATGACACCCATGTCTGGTTCTTGCCTAAAAAGACGGGTTTATGATGTTTAATACATTTGGCTGCTTTTAGCCTTACCCTGGAGTTGGTTCACCCTCCGCCTATGCCTTAACTACTATGTACTTACATTTAAATTAATTATTTGGTGCAATGCACTTATTGTGTACATACATGCTTTTACATTGTACTTATATTTTTAAAAATACCTGCATGTAATTGCACCTGTAATTAGTTACATTTATAATTACACTGTTGCCCCATCCCTTACACCTTAACCCACCCATAAACCTACCCATACCACCCTAACCTTACCCATATCCCACCTCGATAGCAGCAAGTGTTTTGCAATACAATATGAACACAACAGGTATATTTGTACTTATTTTTTGATGTTAGTACATAGTAGTTAAGGCCACTTAATATAAAGTGGGACCGAACCATTTTTGGGTCCACAAAGAACCATTCAGTCAAAGGTTCTTTAAAGAACCATCTCTTTCTTACCTTTTCGAACCTTCTTTCACCACAAAGAAACTTTTGTGACACAGAAAGGTTCTTGAGATGTTAAAGGTTCTTTATGGAACCATTTGGACAAAAAAGGTTCTTCTATGGCATCGTGAAGCACCTTTATTTTTAAGAGTGTACAATGAAACAGACTAACAAGCTTCATAAAAGTACTTCAAGTATATATTCAATCTCGGCTTGTCAAGAAGCAAATCAAACAGCAAATAACAAGATGTTGACTCAAAAAAAAAAAAAAGGAGACTCTAAATTTAAGATTTATGTATTTGAATTGCATATAAAATTTCCATCTATTTAGATTACACAATTTTAACAGAAACTAATGAACTTTATGTGATGCATATTTCTCAGTCATACATAAATGAAACAGGTCAGATTTCCACACACACACACACACACACACACAATCACAATCATGGCATAGTTTATCATGAACTATTAGCATCTTTTTGATTTAATTGCAATAATCATACATTCAAAATGAAACCTTGTTCTCAAAGGTTCTTTAAAGAACCATCTCTTTCTTACCTTTTCGAACCTTCTTTCACCACAAAGAAACTTTTGTGACACAGAAAGGTTCTTGAGATGTTAAAGGTTCTTTATGGAACCATTTGGACAAAAAAGGTTCTTCTATGGCATCGTGAAGCACCTTTATTTTTAAGAGTGTACAATGAAACAGACTAACAAGCTTCATAAAAGTACTTCAAGTATATATTCAATCTCGGCTTGTCAAGAAGCAAATCAAACAGCAAATAACAAGATGTTGACTCAAAAAAAAAAAAAAGGAGACTCTAAATGTAAGATTTATGTATTTGAATTGCATATAAAATTTCCATCTATTTAGATTACACAGTTTATACATTAAAGAAGCTCATATATTTAATGTGATGCATTTTGGTCAGTCATACATAAATGAAGCAGGTCAGATTTCTGTGATAGTACTAACTGTATGTGTTTTAACTACACAATAGCCAGGTTATATATTTATCATCAATAAATCAAATTTATTTCAGTCTCTTACATTTTAACTAATTGAATATTGCTTGTTCCACAGCTAGCCATGTTTTAACCTTGTTCATACTATGTAACTGAATAAACTGAAGTATTTTCACAGATTTATGCTGATTCTAAGCAATTTGAATAAATGCATTTTGAAAATATGGTTATTTAATTGAAACCAAATAGATGCAAATAATTAATAAATTATGCCATGATTTTTGAGTTCAGAAATCTGGCCTGTTTCATTTATGTATTACTGAAAAACATGCATTATTTTAATCATGTTTATTATTTTGTTAATATTAAAACTATGTCGTGCTGTCAAACGATTAATCTATACATGCATGGGTGGGTATTTATATACAGGTGCATCTCAACAAATTAGAATATCGTGAAAAAGTAAAAAAATTGTGTAACATTTCAAAAATTGAAACTTTCATATATTCTAGATTCGTTAGATGTAAAGTAAAACATTTAACAAGTTATGTTGTTTTAATTTTGATGATTAGAGCTTACAGCTCATGAAAAAATAACTTTTTCACGATATTCAAATTTTTTTAGATGCACCTGTATGCATAATAAATATACACAGTACACACACATATACTATGTAAGCAAAAACGTTTATTTTGTATGTGGTTAATCGCATTTAATCGTTTGACAGCACTAAAACTATGTAATGGATGAATAAATTATGCCATGATTTTTGAGTGCAGAAATCTGGCCTGTTTCATTTATGTATTACTGAAAAACATGCATTATTTTAATCATGTTTATTATTCTGTTAATATTAAAACTATGTCGTGCTGTCAAACGATTAATCTATACATGCATGGGTGGGTATTTATATACAGGTGCATCTCAACAAATTAGAATATCGTGAAAAAGTAAAAAAATTGTGTAACATTTCAAAAATTGAAACTTTCATATATTCTAGATTCGTTAGATGTAAAGTAAAACATTTAACAAGTTATGTTGTTTTAATTTTGATGATTAGAGCTTACAGCTCATGAAAAAATAACTTTCTGTGAGATACTGTATATAGGTTAATATTAAGGTTAATATACCTGTACAAAGGTGATATAATGCATAATGCAGTAGGTTGGAGGAGATGAGAGAACTTATTTGGAATAAAAAAAAATGAGTTGTTTTGGAATAAGTAATGTAAATAACTGTTATCAACTCCTTCATGCCAAATAAACAACTAAAACGGCAAATAAATATTTAGTTACTTTGAGTGTGATTACTGTTCAAATTGTGATTTGCTACATATATCCAGCAGCTCTCTACACCTGCATTACTCACTCAATCATTTGTCGGTCCTGTTTTCTCAGAAGTGGACTCTGATTGAACCACAGATCCGTCAGCATGACCTGTGTCTGGCTATCACAGCTTTCCCTGCAGGGTCAAAGGTCAGACTGGAGCCCTGCAACATCAAAGAGTCCAGACAGGTGGGTAT